CGCACGAGTGTCAGGGTCAGTCGGATCGATTACGAAAAAAAGCGGGACAGCCGAGACAGTGGGGTAGCGTGATTAACTATCTATTTCAAGTAGTGTTGCGCAGGAGGAGCGGATGGAGGAACGACCGTTGTGGGAGATGTGAAGACGGTGATGGCAGAGTCGGGATTATGGTTAGAAAGAACGATCGGGAGGAGAGTGTGATAATAGTAAGGAAGCGGGAAAGGGAGTGATAGTCAGGAGAGAAGAAACGCAAAGGCGGCGGCAGAGAGGTGAGTAGGGACCATGGCACAGGAGATCGGATCGCAGAGGATCGTGAGGAGCGTGGCGCGATTAAACAAACGCCCGAAGAGAGGATGGAATGGGAGTAGTGGAGAAGGGAGAAGGGAGAGAGGGAGACTGAGAGGCAGAAGTAGGATACGTGGAAAAGAAGTAGGACGAGTAAATCAGAGCACAACACCGAGCGGAGAGAAGGGAGAGTAGGCAAGTGAGAAACGGTAGGTAGGGGGCAGCGGGGTAGAAATGCGCACGGAGAATGGTATATAAGAGGGATGATGATGCATACCTGGTATCTCGATTCTGGAACCCTCCTGATGAGTCCGTTAAATATGCCAGCGGCGAAACGCGTAGAGGCAAACGCGTATGTTTGGTGTTTCTCGAGCTATTAATGAGTATTGGGGTCGAGAATTTTGGTGATGCCGGTGATGTGTGAGAGCTTTCTTCTGTGTGATCTTCTTTCGTAGCTTGCTATCCTCTTGCTCTCCATCTAATCTCTGCAAACGTGGTAACCGATAGTGATAGACACGGTGCAGTGGCTACGTGGGTTTTTGGGGCCACGAACGTACGAGGTATCGGAGCGTGATCGACTTCGGAGGCTTGTACTTCAGCGGAAAAGAACGTCGAAGCTGGGCGTGATCGTCCCAACTAGTTATTTCCCTTGTATGAGCACAGCAGGTATGGTAAGACCGATAAGACCGTTGGTCAGGAAGGTAAGTTTTCGCGACTTGATCGTCATCGTGATTGGGGTGAGTGGGCTGACGACACTGCACATGTGTGTGACGAGTAAAGGAGAGAGATCGGGGGTATTCAAAGTGCGCATTTTGATCACGTATAGGTGGGAATAAGGGGATGACAGATTGGAATTTTAGACAAGCCGAATTCGATAGATTATGTCAAGACGTGGAGAATTTATTGTATGATAGAGTGATTCCTATAATTTTCGTAGCATTAGAATTCAGGGATGATATTACGAGAGAAGAACTGACGTGCGTGCTTGAGAGATTCTTGGGAAGGTTCTATAGTGTTGGGTGCTTAGTCAGGGATAGAAGAAGGAGAAGAAGGAGGCGAGTGAGGGGAGGGACGTAGAGATGCAGAATCCAAACATTCCGATGGGGACAGGGTTCGGGAACGGGGGACCTACCGCCGGGGCAAACCAGCCCAATGTTGTATCGTGCTACTTATGCGGGAAGGTCGGGCATTATGCCCGAAATTGTTGGGCCAACGGTAATGGGAGACAACCTGCACCACATCCACCGATACAATCAGGGATGATTGATGATGAGGCAAAGGAGCTTCGAGAGTATTTCCGTGAGAAGATAAGAAAGAGGAAACTCGAGGAAGAAAGAAGGGAGAAGGAGGAAGAAGAGAAACGTCGGAGGGATGAGGAAATTCGGAAGGAACAGGAAAGGTTAAGAGAGGCGGAAGCCCGAGAGGCGAAACTGGAGGCCAGGCTGATCAAGTTGCTGGCACAACACATCGAGGGAAGTATGAAGGTCGAAAGCTCAGCTGTGAAGAAGAAATCACCTAGGACGAAGGCGAGAGTTTTACGTGAGATAAGAAGTTATTTGGACGAATCGGATGATGAAAGTGAGGAGGTGAGAGAGGAGGCCAGGAAACTCGTGGATGCTATCGAAAGGAGGAAAGGGAAGAAGAGAGTGAATGATGATGATGAAAGACTATCGAAGATGAGGGTAGAAAGGAGGGGGCATCGAGGGGACCCGGTGCGAATAGACGACGAAGAAAAAGAAGTTAGGACTCCTCCACAGGAGAGGAGGTATGGCGAGGACACCGGAATTCTGGACTTCGCGATAGAGCTACACAAGCATCTGTCCGAGAAAAAGGTGCCAAAACTTCGAAAGTTGTGTAACCGGGAAGGGATCGAGTGGTCAAAAAGAGAGACAGCGATTGGTGAGTTGGTGAGGTGTAAAGCGAAACTTGCATACGGAGAATTCACCGAGAGCGGGAGGATCTCACCGTTGTTTGAAAAATAGCCGGGTAAAGTATGGAATCGTTGAGAAGAATGATGGATGGTCGTGGAGAACTGATAAGGGAAGGGAAAGGAAGGATGAGAGCGGAGGTAGAGGATCGGATTTTTCGTATGTTTCTTCTATGCGTGATCCAGGGATTTTGTCCGTGGGCAAAAAAGTGGGTTGGGATGGTAAGCAGCAATGAGAAGGAAATGTCGACTGCGGATGCGGGAGTGTACGTGCTGGTAAGTCCGTGGTGTCGCCACTTTTATATAGGCTGTACATCCCGATCTATTATGACACGTTGGGCGGACCATGTGAGCCAGGTAATTCGGGGAGAGGTCGGGAATGCRCCCAAACTCCATGCATGGTTACAAATTTTTGGATGGAAGAAGTATATTGTGATTCCACTGGTAGTAGGAGTTAACRATCCRTTTGTTATGGAGTCGGCGATGATAAGGAGGTTTTCACCTGCTCTGAACACTCGGGGTAAGAGTAGGGAAGGGAAGCGGGGCAGACGGAGGAAAGGGAAGAGAGAAAGGGGTAAGAGGCAATCGAACAAATTAGGAGAGGCGATTATCAGTTTTAATGATCGAGTGTCACTCGTTGACTTGGTGAAGGAAATTGGAGTGAGTGGGGGGAATCAGCAGATCTCCTCGTCTGGAGGGGATGTGTGGATCGATAGGTGGAGAGTAGTACGGGGAAAGATAGGGGAAACTACGATATGGGTCGGCGAGAAGGAAGTTCAGATAAAGCATTGCAAACGGGTTTTGGAAGGAGGAGGGGATTTCAGGATTGGAAGGATTAGGATCCTACCATCCAGGATAGAAGATCGGAAGCGAGTGCTGAAAGGGGTAATTAACCAGCCGTGGAGAGTAAGGGAGTTGTATAGGAAAGGGTCCAGGGAGCTCGTGGCGCTATTCAGGACCGGGTCTTTATTCGCGCAGAAAAGAACGAGSAGCCGGATCAAGACCATCGTCACGCGGGTGATAAGGAATAAGTACGRCAGCGAGGTAAGGAGGAAACCATGTGTGAAGGTTCYGTTTTCTCCAGCAGTAAAAATGGGAGCAGTACGGGAMATCGCAGMAGGGTTAATCGTTCGAGGGGGTATGGATCCGGAGATTGCTCGGTTCGTGGCAAGTAGAGTAAGAGTGGTGGASAAGAAGAGACTTAYCGTAGGGATGGTGATACACAATCAGTGGAAGTGTGCCGAAGGAGAGAGTGYTGGTTGTACATGCAGAGCATTGGACCTTCCTAGGAGTGAAGGCCACGTCAAAGTGAGAATCAACGAAGTGGAGGATATCCCGAGTTTTATGTGGAATTCGAAAAACGTGACAAGTGGTTGCGTTATTTCTCCAGGAATCCTGGAGGCATGCATTAGGGAAGGGGTTGCCAGTTGGACGAGGGGGAGAGTGGTTCAGATGAATCCTGGGGATCTGGAAAGATGCTATGATGTTCGAAAAATGAATCAGACTGATGCCATGACGACGAATCAGGTAAGGGACGTCTTTCGAAAGTATGCCAAACTAATGGCGGTACCGATTGATCGTAATCCAGGTGCAACGCTACTGGTTTGTCCAGTGTTGTATCATAGGGCGTGTACTGAGACTTTCAATACCAATCCCAACTTTCGAGCGGTTCACAGGTCCAAAGGTCAAGTTCTAACCAAGATGAGAGAGGAGTACACTCGAAAGGGGCTGAGCAAAGTCGCGCGTTGGCAAACCGCGGGGAAGATAGGACAAGCATATGTCTTGCCGAAAGACAAGGACTTGGGGAGATGGAGGCCGATCTCGCCAAGTACTCGTGATCCGGCAAGATTGGCAGCTGCAAGGGTGGGGAGAGCAATCCGGTTTATGCTTTTTGGGGTAAGGAGATCTGCGCATTTTGATCTAAAGTCAATGGATGATGTGGGTAAGTGGTGTAAGGAAGTTCAGGGAGAGCTGAGTGCGACGGGGGATGGCGTGCTTGCGCAAAGTTATGATATTAAGGATATGTTTGCGCGCTTATCGCATGAAAGTATCCTAGAAGCCGTGGAATGGATAATAGGATACCATGAGAGAAGGGGAATGAAAGGAGTAAAGGTGAGCATGAGAGGGAAAGTGTGTGCAATGATTAGGAAAGTGCTGAAGGAAGAAGGGTTCGTGATACTGTTGTCTGATGATATCAGGAAAGAAGTGGAGTTTGAGCTCTCACAGTCTTTTGTCCGTTGTGCTAGTACATTGTTATCTCAGAGATTTGGTATTCCAATGGGGAGGAATTCGAGCTCGGCACTAGCTTGTTTGGTGTGTGCAAGGGCTGAATTCGGGTTCATGGAAAGAGCACAGAAGGCAGGGAATGTGATAAGGGGAATGCGAATGATAGACGACGTAGCAGTCATGGTCGGGTTCAGACAGGATAGACCCGATACTCTTCAAGCAGCAGTGCACATTTTGAGGGAATTTGAGCAATGCTATGATGAGAATTTGAAGCTTGTTCGGAAGGACGAAGAGGGAAATGTTTTTGACTTTTTGAGGAATCGTGTTATAGTCGAGATGGATCCTATAAGAGTCAACGTTTTTCCCAGAACAAGGAATCAGTTGTCTCTCCTCAAAGAAGGGAGTCTGAAAGTACAGTGGATACAAGATTTCGCATCGTTCACAAGGAAGGCGGCCAAGAAGGCGACGATATATGCAATTCTGGTCCGGATGAACAGAGTTTCGACCTYAGAACAGGCGATGAAAGCCGCAATTGCTGCATTGATGATGGAGATTCGCCTCCGGGGTTATCCCCTGGAGGTCTCTCTCGGGGCCCTAGCAAGATTTGCTAGGATGTCCGGAGGTCCGTGGGGAGTTTATCTCCCCGCAGAGTA